AGACCCAGGTCCCAAAGAGGCAGTGGATACATGGGTCAGTGGATTTTCAGCTGACCCCTGCCCCTGGGGACTCTGGTCTCCTCAGTTGCCACAACGGCCCCATGCCCCCTCGCCGCATTTCATCCTCACCACCTTGTGAGTCCATTCCTGTGCACACCGTCCAACCTGAAGCCGATCCCAAGAGTCCTCCAACTGTCCGGCCCTGGCCGTGAAGCTGGGCGTTTCCTGGGACATGCCCCAGAGCCACAGCCTCAATCCCTTTCCCAGACACCCCACCCACGTCTCACCACCCACCTCTCCTGCCCGCACCAGATCCCATGGGCACCGAAGCCTGCCTTGGTGAGAGTCCCAGCCAGCCTTGTAACTGCGCATGTGATCGTCACGGCGCTGGCGCCTGCCGTCACATTGACCGCCGCGGTTGCCTAGGGATCATTTTCCTTGAGGCGTTGGGGAACGGGAGCTCTCTGTGGCCATGCCGTCCCTTCAGGTCTTTCAAGGGGATGATTCCTGGATGTCAGGAGTGGCGGAGGGCTCCGTCCGGCCGAAGAAACCTCGTCAGGAGCCTCCAAGTTGCACCGCGGGATCCATCACTGCTTCACTCACGCCGGCCTAGTGGGGGTGTGTGTGAGTGTCCCCAAAGGTTGTAGGCCCTGTGCCCCTTAGGGCTGGACTGCCTGTGTGCCCGTGGGCTGCTCTCTTCTCCACGGGGCTTGCTTGCAGGCGCCAGAGCACCACAGCCCCAGGAGCCGCCTTAGTGCGGGCACGTGTATCCGTGTGTTTCTTTGTGTGTGTGTTTGCATGCGGCATCCAGCAGGGGGAATGTGTCTCGTGTGCCATGGTTCACGGGTGGCTTTGGTCATCTCTGCTTTGCGTCTGGTGAACTCCTCCCTGTTTGAGCTTGGGCTTTGTGCCTGAGTGAAGCTGTTTTCCTTGTGGTTCCTGTTTGGGTTTTGAAGACCTGGGTGCATTTTGGGGGGCTGCTGATTCATACCAGCAGGGATAGGAATAACCTCTTCACTGGGAGAGGCTGCATTACGCTTGGCAAGAGGGTCACATCACAGATGAGGACACAAACCTCAGAAGGAACCCGTGCTCGGCGTGCTGGACAGGTCCATACAGACATCAAGGGCTGTGATGCTATTTCTATTCTTTTTTTCCTCTAATGGTCACATATACCCTGCCTTATTTAAATAGTATGAGGATTAGTCCAGTCGCTGATTTTATATGCCATTAAAAAGTGTTTATTGTTTCCTCTGGTGTTTTTTCTTTTTTTTTTTTCAATTTTAAGTTATAATTCACTTCCTGGTTTTTAGTGTATTTTATTTCATAGGATGTCTTCCTCTTTCACATTGTCCTTTTTCTTATTAGCCTGTTTTTGTATTTGGTTTTACTGTTGACCTGTTGTCATTTTTTTCCATTGTGATTTTTGTTTTGGTTAGCTAGATTTTACTCAATGTAGGGTACTTTGTTCGATTTAAAGAGCAGTCTGTAGGCCTTCCTTAATCCCTGAAGTCTGCCTTTACCTGCATGTGTGATCCAGCTCAGGTTGGTTTAATTTGTTGAGTACAGGACAGGTTGTAGTTTACCCAATTTTTTTCTATGGTTGTGAGTGAACCTGACTTCCTGGTGTTCAAGTTGACCCTACAACCGGGCATATGTATGTCATTAGCAGTAAGCTTGTGTCTTACTGACCTCTGTGTTTTCCTTTTGATAGGTTCTTGATGTGCTTGATCAGTAAACCCTCTGTGGCTCCACATTTTCTGGCCTGTTGTGTTTCATCGAGGAGGTTTAGCATAAGTTTGGGCATTTTAGGAGCTGAGGCACACTGAGCATTCTCTAGACCTTTCATTGGGAAGGAGGGACGCACTGTGGTGTTCCTCCCTTAGGTTGATTTTAGAGTGTGCATGTGACTCTCTCTGCAGGTTTTTTCCCCTGTTATCCAGAGGCTGGGATAATTTGTGTCCACATGTAGTATTGTCTCTAGTCATCTCCAACTTTTGGGTTAAGATTTAACTTCTATCAGTCCAAAATCAACCCACCAACAAAGAAACATCTGCTATTCTTAAGGTCAAGGTCTCCAACATTATCAATATTGCTCACTTTAATAGCTAATTCTCAAGCTTATTGTTATGTAATCTTGTAAAGCTGATACCATTGAACCTCCTGTGATTTACTTATATTTGGCTTGTTAGTTTCCACCCTCTCTTGGTTTTGATCCCATACCATTGTTTCTCTATTGCTGTTTTTGAGTTCTGTTCCTTTATCATTAAATTCTTAATTTTGGAGTGTTCCCTGAGTCAGTTCTTGCTGTTTTTTAGTGTCTCTTCACTCCAGTGATCTTACCCTGCCTCAACATTTTTAATAAGTATAGACAGTGTCTACCAAAATAATATAATATTTAGGTTAGTACATATAGGTTACTGTATGCTTGTATATCAAATTGCCTACTCAATTGCCAATTTTTAATTTTAAAGACATCTTAAGGTCAACATGTTCAAAATTGAACTCCCAACCTTCCCCAACTATGCTGCAACAGAAACATTACCTGTGTTAGCTGAGGAAGTTAATGTATCTCCAGATATTCAAGACCAAGACATTTGAGTCAGTCACCTTGGACTTGTCCTTTACACATCTAACACCTAAATACATCTTGCGAGTTTTGCCACATTTACCATATAACTAGCATAAACCAATTCTTACCATACGCAGTTTACCATGTGTTTCTAAGCCATAATGTCATCTTTTATCTGAATTATTGCCATAGTCCCTACTCTCAGCCAGTTTTTTACAACAGCTACGTGTCAGATTGTCCTCTGCTCAAAACTCTCCCATGGTCGCCTTTTCCCGATTGTAAAATACAAAGTGCTTACAATGGTTTATAAGGCTGGAATGATATGACCCTCTTTTTTCTCTCTGGTCTCCTGTCCTAGCAATCACCCCTTTGCACAGAACTCTATTGATATCTTCCCTAATATTCCTAAAATATATCTGCATATTCCTATTGTAGGACCTCTCTAGCTTTTTCTCTGCCTGTGATGCTCTTTTCTTAGATAACCGTTGACCTACGACCTCATCCCTTCAAATTTTGGCTCAAAGCTTTCCTTTTTGATGAGCTACCTTGACGGTTTCATAATGTGACCTAAGCTGTCATACCAATCCCATCTCCTTTTGAGTGACTTCTCTGTATTACATTTATGTTCCAACATACTCTACATCTATTATTATCCCATTTCCTCCTGTTAGAATTGTTCACGGATATATCCCAAACACCTAAGATAATGGCTAGAATACAGTAAGCACCTAATAAATATGACCAGTTTTGTAACAATGGGCTTAGGTGGGAAAAGCATAAAAAGGTTTGTTAGCAGACTGCCTTCCTATGTATCAGCAAAGGTCTCATTTCTTGCTCAGGCTGTCACTTTAAGTCACTGTAAATGGTTTCATTTAAGGGTAAAGAACTGAGTGCCTGCCATCAGAGATAACATCTCATACTCAGCAATACCTCCTTCAGTTGCTGCTAGTGGCCTAACTCTACTCTGTATTTATCTCTTTCACAGGACATTACGGAAATCAGCAAAACATACCCAACACATTCCAAATCACTCCTATCACTTCCTTTAACATTATAGCCTCAATTGGCATAAAGCCTATTTTGTAATAACGAGAAGCAATGACCAAATGTCTTGCCAATAAAAACAAGATTCTTTTGGTATCTAGCCTGAACTGGGTAGATCCTCATTGTCAGTGGCCATAAGTCAAGGCCATATTTAAGATTTCTTTTACCCATAATACTTTAATTCTAAGTACCAAATTTTATATCGTTAATAATTTTTATTGTTAATAACAGCACTATGATAGCATCAACAAATAAGATGTTTAATTTCATATGAATACAGGAGGCAAGCAGACCAGAACTAGTATGGTTGTTCCACAATCTGTAACACCCATATACCACCCTCAAAGTCTTCATGACAGTATCAGAGCTTCACCTTACAGGTCTACATTGTAGGTATGGGAAAAAGAAAGGCAGATAGGAAAAATGGATTTCTTAAATGTCCTACTCAATACAAATACCACTTCTACCTTGCTGACCTGCAAGACAGGCTGAGACAGTTTTCCAGTCCAGAATTTTGTTACTAAGAAAGGTAATACAGGTACTGCTTAAGAAAAAAGGTCTCTGACACAAACTTTCATTTTCCATTGCAAAATAGTCTGTAATGCGAGTTTGTATTTTCTGTTTATCTAAAAAGCAGTACATTCAAGTTTTAAAAATTTCCCACTAGACTGGTTAGGTTTTAGATCTTGGACTTTGTCAGAATCATGTCATACCTGTCCCAGATTTCCTAATGGGTGTGCTCAATAATCCAATGATGAAATCTACAAGGTTTCTTTACAGTATGAATTTGCTCTCTTATCATAAGGGTTTAGATTTCAATAACAGCTTTCTCACAATCATTACAGCATACTTTCTCAGTATTCTTTATACTCATAAGTGCTCTTCTCTCATGCAAATTCTCTAAAATAACACTAGTGGAAATGGTGTGTAGTATTTGTGATACGTCCAAGGCACTGCTTTTAGAGCTTTTACATGTGATAACTTACAAAATACTTCCAAGAATGAAATAATAAAGGTATTACTCTTAGGTCTATCTTATGAATGATTAAACCAAAGAAGAGAATTATGATACATGTAAGAAAGAAAATCAAATGGTATAGACAAGAGAGTGTGGAAAAAGACAACTGCTATAGTTTACAGCCTTCCTACATTTACTATATTAACAAAATTACTCTCTAATTTGATAAAGTTTAATAGCTTTCCAATAATGATAGGCTTTTCTACATGGATTACATTAACATTCTCTTTTCCCCATATAAATTCTCTGATGCTGATCTGTGTGAGGCAAATGTGCTCCTATGTTCACATTCATGAGAATTCTTTGTTGATAAGGGATGAATGACTAGAGAATGCTCTCTATAGTGATCCCAAAGAATCAGATAATTCACGTATAAACTTGTGAGCCATGACTAAAGTCTACCCCACATTCCTTATATTCAAATGGTTTCTCACTGATATGAATTCTCTGATGTTGAGTTAGTTGTGCACCACGAGTAAAGGCCTTCCCACATTCCTTACACTGATACGGTTTTTCACCAGTGTGAATTCTCTCATGTCGAGAAAGATGTGAGCTCTGAGTAAAGGCTTTCCTACAGTGTTTGCATTCATAAGGCTTCTCACCAGTATGGATTCTCTGATGTAGAGTAAGTTGAGAACCATGACTAAAGGCCTTTCCACACTCTTTGCATTCATAGGGTTTTTCTCCGGTGTGAATTCGTTGATGTTGTGTCAGTTGTGAACCACGAATAAAGGCCTTTCCACAGTCCTTACACTGAAATGGTTTCTCACCAGTATGAATTCTCTGATGTTGTATAAGTAGTAAACCGCGAGCAAAGGCCTTCCCACATTCATTACATACATAAGGCTTCTCACCAGTGTGAAGTCTCTGATGTTGAGAAAGATGTGAACTCTGAGTAAAGGCCATTCTACATTCTTTACATTCATAAGGCTTCTCACCAGTATGAATTCTTTGATGTTGAGTAAGCTGTGAGCCACGAATAAAAGATTTCCCACATTCCTTACATTCATAGGGTTTCTCCCCAGTGTGAATTCTCTCATGTTGAGTAAGTTCTGAGCCACGACTAAAAGTTTTTCCACATTCTTTACATTCGTACGGTTTCTCACCGGTATGAATCCTCTGATGTCGAGTAAGGAGTGAGCCACGATTAAAGGCCTTTCCACATTCCTTACATTGATAGGGTTTCTCACCAGTATGAATTCTCTGATGTTGAGTAAGTTGTGAACCATGACTAAATGTCTTTCCACATTCTTTACATTCATAGGGCTTTTCATTAGTATGAATTCTCTGGTGTTGAGTAAGTTGTGAACCACGGATAAAAGCCTTCCCACATTCTTCACATTTATAGGGTTTTTCACCAGTATGAATCCTTTGATGTTGCATAAGTAGGGAGCCCCGAATAAAGGCCTTTCCACATTCTTTACATTCATATGGTTTTTCCCCATTATGAATTTTCTGATGTTGAGAAAGCTGTGAGCCACAAATAAAAGCTTTACCACACTCCTTACATTCATAGGGTTTCTCACCGGTATGAATTCTCTTGTGGAGAACAAGTTGTGAAAGCTGTGTAAAGACCTTTCTACATTCTTTACATTCATAGAGCTTCTCACCAGTGTGAAGTCTCTGGTGCAAAGTAAGCTGTGAGTTCTGAGTAAAGGCCTTTCCACATTCTTTACATTCATAAGGTTTCTCACCAGTATGGACTTTTTGATGTCGGGTCAGTTGTGAGCTACGAATAAAGGCTTTCCCACATTCTTCACATTTATATGGTTTTTCACCAGTATGAATTCTATGATGTAAAATAAGTTGTGAACTCTGAGTAAAGGCCCTCCCACATTCCTTGCATGCATAGGGTTTCTCACCAGTATGAAGTCTCTGATGAAGACTGAGTTGTGAATCACGACTAAAGGCCTTCCCACATTGCTTACATTCATAGGGTTTTTCACCAGTATGAATACTCTGATGTTGAGTTAGGTGTGAGGCTCGTCTGAAGGCTTTCCCACATTCCTTACATTTATAGGGTTTCTCAGTAGAATGACATCTTGGATTTTGAGGTAAATAAGTATGTTGGTTGAATATGGACATTGTGTCATATGTGATCATCCCTTGCCTTAAATACTCCTTCTGATTTTCTTGTTGCTTCTGCACCTTGCCTTTAATATCCAAATAATCTCTGAAATTGGACTCTTCAAGATTACAGTTTTCAAGTCTTTCACTCATTTCCCATTGGGATAATTCTGTTTCATAAGGATCCTTTTTTGGAGATAAGTCCTTACTTGCACAACATAAAGGAAAGTCTGAAAAATGAGAGAATATCAAAAAATTGAGTAGAAATACAACTTCTATAGCAGAGACAAAAAATTAGAAAATGTTACCCCTAAGAAATAAGCATATAGACGTGTTTAAAATATTGTTTAATATGACCTATAATAATACCTACCTTTCACATCACAACCTACTACATACATATGTATAATTTCAAAAAACAACACCTACTGTTTTATATTCTATTTTACATTATTCTACTGTTTTCTAAATTTCAGTGTCTCTCTCACACACCCACCCACCCACACACCCAGTCAAAACCCACTGAACTGATTTCATGGTGTAGTAATGTTCCTATTTAGAATTAAAAATATATATATTAGTTTAGAATCATCTCATATATTAACATGTAAAAAGAGCACTTGAGAAATCAGAGAATAATGAAAATTCACCTGAGAAGATAAGGGAAGAGATTAGAAAAATATTTTAAGTCAGTAATTCTCAATCTTTGGTGGGAATCAAAACTCCCTGGGGAGATTTTATAATTGTAGATGTCCAGATACTACACCAGAAACAGTTAAAGAAAAAGAGCAAGGACATCTCTACTTTTAATACTTTGGACCAACTGATTCAGATTCAGATCATAATTTGCTATATCTGCTTAAAACTTTTTAATAGCTTCCAGATGAAACAGAATAAAACCCAAATTCTTCCATTATTTTGACCTCCCACCCAACTGTCTGGTCCCTGCCTATGTGTCTGATTTCCTGCATGAGCCTTCTCAGGTTTGCTCATTATCTGTCAAACTAGCTTCCTTTCAACTCTGAGAAAGTCATAAGGCCTTTCTCAACTTACAGTTATTCAGGGATGCTCTGTACAAGACTATGCAAACTTGCTCTTTCTCATTTTCAGGTCTCAATTATCAGTTCCTAAATCATAAAAATATATTTCTGGTAATTTATGTAATTTAGACTAACCTTCCTGATGATAGCAGGTATACAGATTGGACAAATTATAAAAGGTACCTGACTGAAGGCATTGGAAAGTTAATACATAATTAAAGAGTTAGGTGGGCTAAAATTTGAAAAACATGAAAAGTCAAAGAAATGAGTCCAACATATGGATCCACTTTTCCTCTTAGGGAAGCCTCACAATTCTATAAAAAGCAATTAAGAGGAGAAAAAAACTAAACAGTGTTTTGGACTGCTTCACAGGGTTGGGCAACAATAGTGGGAGAACAGGGCCTGCCATAAACTTTACATACTTTCGGTTGGGAACCCTAAGGGCTACAATGAGGAGTAAGGGAGAAACAGCAGACCCATCCTGGCAAGGAGCTGAAGCCTGAATCACCTTAGAATCATCTCAAATAAAAACATTTGGATTAAGGTGATTTAAAACTGTTTACCATAACAAACTTAAATGTTTATTGAAGATGTGTAATGTCATCCAAGGCCTCAAATTATTTTGCAATTTTTCTTTGCAATATCTAGACCTTAAAAACCAGGTGAATGAAGGCACAAGACAATTGAATCATAGATCATAGAAAAAAACCAGACCCGTAAGGATTGAAGTCATGTATCTAACATCACTACACTTGTATCACTCTTAAATACCTCTGTGCTGTCCCTCTGTAATCAAACCTTCTTCCCACCGTAGGGGTAGATGCCTTGAAACCATCAATCTAGGGCTTCCTCATCACTTCCTTAAGGATGGAAACAAAATAGCATTCATACTAAATCCATGATCATATATACCTCTCCAAATGCCTTGCCTCTTGCATACTGTTTCCCAGGTACTAGCCATGGTTATGTTCTTTAGCTCTCTCTATGCTTTTCAAACAAGATACTGTTATTTTTGCTTACTTATCCTTACTTCACAGTTACTTTGTCTTATGTCTTCTCTTATTTACTCATCTATTTAAGGCCAACTCTATGTATTCATCCCAGAAGAATAGCTTTATCATTTCCCAGGAATTAATATAGGTATAAAACATGAAAGGTTTCTATAATCTTACATAATGTTAGGGATGTTGGAGAAGAAAAAAGCAATTATTTAATATAAGGGAAGGAGTCTACAGTGATAAAGTTCTAGGAATTCTATAAAAAAGAATATTTTAGCTGGAAAGACAGATCAAGGAACAGAACAGAACACAAAAAGTCTCATACTCTGCTGGGAATACAAGAGTACAACCACAAAAAGTTTGGTAGTTTCTTATGACGTTAAACATACGTTTAGCATTTGATCCAGTAGTCATATGAGTAGGTATTTATACTGATGTTCACAGAAACATCTGTACACCAAAGATTATAGCAGCTTTATCCATAATTGCCCCAAACAGGAACAACCAGATATCCCTCAAAAAGTGACTGAATCAACAACTTTTGGTACTTCCAGACACTGGAACACTACTCAGCAATAGAAGGAAACTGTCGACTCATGCATCAATATGGATAAATCTTAAATATATTTTATTAAGTGAAAAAAGCCAGACCCCAAAGGCTACATATTTTGATTCCATTTATATGATATTCTTGAAAAAGCAAAACTACGGGGACGAAAACTAGGTGATTAGTTTTCATAGGTTGGTGAGGGCGGAAGGGTTGACAACAAAAAAAGGCATGAGGGAATTTGGGGGGTAAAAATATTATGACTGTGATAGTGGATGAATACACTTGAAATGTGAATGATGCATCAGATTTCCTGAAGAACACCAATAAATTCTGGGTTAAATATGACAAACATCCATTGAAAAGTATAGTGAAGCTTAAAAAAAAAAAAAAAGTCCAGAGGGACCTCAATGAAGTGAAAACCAGAAACTAAAAAGGTGAACATGCTCTGAAATTTGAACTACCCTCGGGGCATCTGCTGGCTTCAACTGCCTAAACTTGTAACTTAATGGTCTGAGAAACTCCAAGACAAGGCCTTGTACTCACAAAAGAGCATGGTTTAGAAATAAACCTCTTAACAAAATAGGAACTATTCAAAGCCTAAAGTTCAGAGAAAGGAAAATTTTAAAAAATTAGTCAAAAGATCTGAATAGACATTTCTTAAAAGAAGACATACAAATGGCCAACAGATAAATGAAAAAAATGCTCAACATCACTAATCATCAAGGAAAATGCCAATCAAAACTACAATGTGATATCATCATACCACAGTTAGAATGGCTATTAAAAAGACAAAAAATAACAAATGCTGGCAAGAATGTGGAGAAAGGAGAACTCACACACTGTTGGTGGGAATGTAAATTACTACAGCCATTATGGTAAACAGTATGGAGGTTCCTCAAAAAATTAAAAATGGAACTATGATATGATCCAATAATTCCACTACTGGGCACATATTCAAAGGAAATGAAATCAGTATGTCAAAGAGATGTTCATTCCCATGTTTATTGCAGTACTATTCACAATAGCCACAATATGGAATCAAACTAAGTGTCCAACAAGAGATAAATGGATCTTAAAAACATGGTATATATGCACGATGGAATATTATTCAGCCATAAAAATCAACAAAATTCTGTCATTTGTAACAACATAGATGAATCCAGAGGACATGTTAAGTGAAATAAGCCAACAGGACAAATACCATATGATCTCATTCATATGTCGAACCTAAAAAAGTTGATCTCATATAAGTAGAGAGTAGAATAGTGGTTACCAGAGGTTGTGGTGGGGGGCCTGGGGAGAGACTGGTCAATGGATACAAAGTTACAAATAGATAGGCATCGATTCTGTTGTTCTATTGGATAATAGGGTGACTACAGTCAATGAAAATATTATGTATACTTTAAAATAGCAAGAAGAGAGGATTTTGAACGTTCTAACCACAAATAACAAGTGTTTGAGGTGACAGATGTGCTAATTACTCTGATTTGATCATTACACAATGTATATATATTCTGAAACATCACACTGTACCCCATAAATATGTACAATTATGTGTCAATTAAAAATAAACTTTTAAAAAAAGTGCTTATGAGAAAAGCCTATATACAACTCAACAGCAAATTAGAACTAGATGAAAAAAATAATGACCTATGAAGATAACGTATCTGTGTATACAGCAATAACTACATAAAAATTTTAATTTGAGTTAAATGTTTATGCTCCTAAAAGTTAATAGATACTGATGACTGATGGTCATTTGTATCTATTGGTCATTCTATCTACTGTATCTAATGGTCAAGACAATAGATACCAATGACTGATGGTATTACTGGGAAGATAATCCAAACCCCTAAAGAATATACAATTCCAACTATACATAACTACTGTCGAACATTTAAAAAGATGGAAATCTACCCTAGTCATTTTGTAAAGTTAAATTAACTCACATAACAAAATTGGACAAACAGACCTTAGGAAAGCTAAGCCAATCTCATCAACAAACATAGGGAAATTTTTAAAATAAAATATTAGCAACATAAAATCTACTAGCTGTGTATTTAAGTAGTAACACATCATGATCATATAAGGTTTATGCCACAAATGCAGGAATAGTTCAACATCAGAAAATCTATTTTCTCACATGAAGAATTTAAACAATAAAATGTTAATAGAATTCTTTCAAGAAATGCAAAAAAAATTAATATACTTTAAGACCTTTTATTGAAAATTCTCTAAAACCAGAATGGCTCTTACTTAACCTAATTAAGTGTATTTACCAGATGCCTATATAAATATATTTAATAGTTAAACATTAGAAGCACTGACAATAAAGTTTCAAAAATGGAACTGTTTTCAAATTGTGCTAGAAGACCTACCAAATATAGGTTTTTTTCCTAAAAGGTCCAAACAGAAAACAGACAACAAATTGTATATAGAGAACAAAACTGTCTACCTAGAAACATAATACTATCCACTGAAAATGATTACTTCTATAAGGTTATCATCAATTTACAGAAATCAATACTTGGTCATTTATAATATATATCAGTATTAACCATTTAGAAAATGTTATAAAACAATATTCCTGTCCATAATATAAACAATATTTATGAAGTACTGAGGAACACTGCTTAAGAAATGTGTAAGACATTTTAAGAAAAAACAACGAAACTTTACAGAGAGCATAAAAAGAAAAACAGATTTAGCATGTTCAAAAATAGAAGGATTCAATATTGTTAATATGTAAATTATGCAACAGATTTCTTGAAAAACACCAATAAATGTTGGATAAAATATGACAGTGTCTTTCTAAAAGTATCCCAAGCTTAAAAGAAAGTATAGAAGATCCAGAGGTGCTAAAATGAAGTGAGATCCAGAAACTAAAGCAGTAAATATGCTCTGAAGTTACAGCTTACCCTCAAGATATTTGCTGACTTTAATTTCCTAGGTCTTCGTATCTTAATGTTATGAAAAATTCAAGAGACAGGCCTTGCACCCAGAGAAGAGCAGGGATTAAAAATAAACCTCTCTATAAAATTGGAACTATCCAAGGCCTAAAATTCAGAGAAAGGAAAAAAAAATCCATCTGACCTAAAAAGAAAACAGCAAGGAATGTCTCAGTCTTGGCCTGGACTCTCAATGAAAGGGAGGAAAAAAAAAGTGCTGTGGATAAATTCATCATTACACAAGGGCCTCCATGTATCAAGAAATAGCAAAGTTAGACCTGTTCCCCAGAAACTGGAATTGTATGACACATAATATAACTGCAGGAAATACATGAAAATGTATGATAAAAACAATGAAAAAGAGACCAGTTTAGGAAAAAAAAAAAAAGATCTGGGAGAGAGGGAGAATATAAAAAACTAGAAATGAAACAATAAAATCAATTACATTAAAATTGTAATGAAAAAAATCTTAAAAGCAGCCAGAGAAAATACAGATTACTTACAAAAGGAACAACAATGAAACAGATGTCAGACTTCTCAAGAGCAACAATAGAAGCCAGAAGACAGTGGAATAATATCTTCAGAGGGCTAAGAAAAAAATAATAGTCAGTATAGAATTTTATACCCAGTTAAATCATTAGGCAAGAATGACAGTGAAAAAAGGTTATTTTACAACAACAAAAAAATAAAAACTTAGAGCACTTACTAACATTAAGCCTTCCCAGTGTATTTCATGATAAATAGAATGAATATATGATGGAAAAAGAGTAGCATGTAAATAAAAGGATAATCATGTGAATAAATCCACAAGCAAACACTATCATGAAACAAAAATTATACCCATTTTGGAGGTTAAAAAGAGAACAGAACTCTAAGATACAGATGTTTAATAACATTAAATTGGAAAAATTTATCAAAATTAATGCATTCTAATATCCTTTATATTATCTTGGGGGAAGATAGCCATGAATTTTTGCCTTTGCTAAATTAAGTATGTGCCTGTCAAGTGACACAGCAATAATGGTAATAATTAAAGTATCAAAACAAGCAGAAATACCCTCAAAATATTTAAATTCACCAGTAATGGCAGAAAAGCTATTCCATTTTTTATCTACAAAATGACAATGATATTTTTAAGTGATAATATCCACTGTTGGTAAAAGTATAAAAAGAGAGCACAGTTATACATTGCTAGTATACTTCTAATAAGTATTCTGTGACAATGAATATATTATCTGACATAGAGATGTCAATTTCTCATCTCTCCTTAGAACTTCAACTTATTGCCCACAATGGTCACCAATTTATTTCATGGTACATACTATCCTTTATAATTGTGTTTTTCAACTTGTTGGCCTTGAAATCCTAGGGGTGTGGACAGGGCCACTGTGTCCGGCCTCTGGAAAAAGACCCCAGCTATTTCTAAAGTACATACAAATTTGGAAACCATTTCCATATTGTTTTCCAAAGTGATTATATCAATTGATACTGCCATCAGTAAGGTATACCCAGACCATTTAAAAATTTAAAAAGCAGCTCTATGAGATATAATTCATATACTTAAGAGTTCAGTCATTTAAAGTGCAAAATTCAATGGCTTTTAGTATATTCACAGGGTAGGGCAACAATCACCACAATCTAAAAAATCTAATTTTTTAACATTTTATCACCCCAAAAGAAATGCTGTCTGTGCCTATTAGCAGTCACTTCCATTTCCCCACTCCCCATTCTCCATTCCTCCCACCCCTCCCGATCCCTGGTGCTGGGTAACAAGTTACCTTTCTGTCTCTATAGATTTGCCTATTGATGACATTTCGTATAAAGGCAGTCATACAATATGTAGCCTTTTGTGTCTGGTTTCTTTTCACTTTAAGGTTCATTCATGTTGTAGCATGTATCAGAGCTTCATTCCTTTTTATTGCTGAATAATATTCCATTGTAAGAATATACCAAATTTTATTTATCCCTTCATGAGATGATAGACATTGGCTAACCATTTTTTGGCTATTGTGAATAGCACTTCTGCCTTTAAATGTTGGGAATGCTTGGTACTGTCAAACTTCTTAAATTTTGCCAATCTACTGCATGTGAAATAATTATATCGTTGTGGTTTTAGTTTGCATTTCCTTTTCCTTGAACTGCCTATAAATATCTTTTACTGAATTTTTCAATATTGTTATTTACCTTTTTCTTATCAATCTGTAGAAGCTTTTTATATTCTGGATACTCATTCCATTGTTGCCTATATGCACTGCAAGTATCTTCATTCAATTCATGGCTTGTCTTTTACTGTCTTTTTGATGTCTTTTGATAAATAGAATAATTTTCATACAGCCACATTTGTCAATCTTTTAATGATTATTTTTAAAAAAGAATAGAACCTTCAGAAAAAATCTATTTCGTTCCCTTTCAAATCTGTTCCTTTATGAAAATCTATTGTCATTTTTGTGATTTAATTTCTTTATTCTTCAGACATTTCACCAGTAGTTTATATCTACATCTAATCATTCCAATAATACAGATTTTTGCCATGTAATATGTTGCTGCTTCAGATTATCTATCACTCATCTGTGACCTATTTCCTGTGGGTTTGATGATCTTTGTGAGCTCACCTTTTGTTGATCTTAATTTGTGAGAATTCTAAAGGCCTCTTACTTTCCTCTGGAGAAAATCTGCATCTGCTTCAGACAGGAGTCAGAGGGCACCACCTTAGAGAATAAAATTTCAAGTCTTTTTTTTTTTATTCTCTCCTTATTTCTTATTATTCTATTATTCACTTGTCTCTAATGTTTTTCTATTCCTCCTACAAAGTTAATGCCCACCCCAAGGCCTTTACCTGTACTACTCCAACTGCCTAGAATACTGGTACCCCAGATATTGACCTACATTCCCTTACTTTAGTCAAATCTTTGTTCAAACATTACCTTTTTAGAGAGGCTTTTCTAAAATCTACGTATATAAAACAAGGGACTCCCACTTCCCATTATTCTTTGCCTACTCTTCTTTACCTTTATTCATACTGCTTATCACTACCTGTTATTATATTTATATACATGCACATACATACACATATATTTTTGTTTCCTTATTTTGTATTTCTCTCGTAAGAATATAAGTTTCAGTACATTAGGAACATTATCTAAGAGATCATTATTTCTCCAATGTTTACTATAGTCCTTGGCACAGAATAGACCCTCAACAAATATATTTTGAATAAATGAACATATTTTAAAGAATAGAGACAATGATATAAGGCTAAATTTATAAAAGCAAAACAGTCTGCAAAGGAATTGACTCCCAAGTTTACGTAAAAGCACTGTCACTGGGGAAAAGGAAAAGCCGTTCCTCCTTTGTTCTTTTTTTTTAATCTCACACACAACATTTAATGCAAAACAAAAGTACGTCTTAAAGGGAGAGACAGGTCATTCTTTGTGAGTGAAGAAGACATTCCTCCTTTGAAAGTGGGAAGAATTATAATAAAAGACCACCAGGGAAAGGAAGAAGTAGGGATTGATTCCTTAGGGAGATCATGCTGAAAAGCCCTTGCTTTTCTTCTCAAGTCATAGGTCTTTCTTCCCACACAACTTGCATCCCGTAGGGGAGTATACCAATCAGTAACTTCCTAAAGCTTTCAGAAGAAAAAAGGAATGAAGTATCAAGAGCCAGTTATATTCCAGTAATAGGAGGTGTACAAGGAATAAAGTGATCACCTAAGTGGAAAATCACTCATTAAAGTTTTAACTCATACAGGTTCTGTCCCTTGTTAAAATACTACAGGGAAAAAAAACCCAATAATTTCTTAGACAATCACAGGATCATCCTCTGCTATTTTCCAATAAAAGATGATTCTAGCATATTCATTCAATGTAAAATTCTTAATATGTAATATTCAACTACCAAGTATATATAAGCGAATGTATTTGTTGTAAGTAATGGATTGTGTTTATGGATTTGAGTTATTAGTGAAATGCACTGATCCACTCCTATTCACTCTACAAATGATATAAGCTCTTCTGATCAGAAAAACCATACATTTCTGCATCTATTTTTAAAATTTATGACTGGGCCTGTAAATTATTTAGAGTTCCTTCAGCAGATCTAAAGTGTAGCAATGTATAGCCTATTTTTTCTGACAATATTCCAAGTGTCCCAGAATTCAAATCTAGTCCCTTGATCATCAAGGAAGATGGCAGGAAGACAGGTATTATAAAAAAGTGTTAAGGCTTTTTGAAGGATGGAGAAGATAAAGGTGCCCTATGAGACTATGTCTACTTCCAGTAATTTCAAACCATTCCTTTAAAAATAAGAAATTCAGTTAATTACTTAAAAAGCATCTTTGAAATAAAAGCAGAGAAACCAGTCATTCCAAAGATAGGCCCCAAAATATGAAGGGCAGATATCCTTACCTAGTGACACCAAGTTGCTGTAGTTCTCCAACATCACATCTCTATATAAATCCCTTTGAACAGAGTCCAGGCACTCCCACTCTTCCTGAGAGAAGTCAATAGCAACATCCCTGAACATCACTGATCTCTGAAATAACAAGCAAAATATTAGTTGTGGAAATATTTTTTCAATGGAGGGGGAGATGATGGGGAATAGCCCACAAAGGAAGCAACAGAGCAAACAATCTGGGAAGTACAAACATGTTCCTGATTATTCCATTGCTGTAGATATTTTTTGGATATAGAACATCTCATTATATAGATAAGTCTGGAATAATAAAGTAAATGCAATGCCCCAGTTAAAAGAAATAGCATACACAAGCATCCTGTACAATATGTATGTTGTATATCACACATTTTCAATAAATGTAAGTTTCTCTTTCTTCTCTATGTAAGGAGTAAGAAAAATAATTGGGAAAATTTTTCTATAAAATCTTATAAAACAATACTTGTATAAAATTAAAGAATTTACTGAAGCCTTAGATTCATCATTATATCAGAGTACTGTATTACATCATAAGCATTTTCCTTGTCACTAATAATTTAGTAAATATTTTTATTGGCTACAGAATAGCTCCTTATAACGAACATACCTGACTTAATAAGTGCTCGTATTTAGCTATTTTAGGTTATTTAAAAATCTCACAGGTATTTCTTAGTTCTCAGAATTTGTAATTCCCAACAACCCGTGCAGGTGAATGATGATCTTTCTTGTTACTATTCATCACTTGTAAATATAACTTTTCCTTGCTCTAAGCAATAGAAAGGTGGAAAAGATAATCTAAACTTACACATCAAGATCAGCACAAAATGTTGAATCTCGAAATGCTCCATACTATTGGTATTCATCCATCATGCATTCCTGGGGAAGATCTCTGATCTCTCTCCATTCAGTCGCTAATCATGTTCCTAATCTTAAAAGCTCATAAAGCATAGCTCTTGCCACATATTGAGACTGAGCGTAGTCAAGACCAACTCCTATCTTGTCTAACTGGAAAACTTAGGTCTAACAGAAGTTAAAAATTTTTTTATCTGTGGTGCCATCCTTCTCTATCTTGTAACATCAGGGAAATCTGCTTTTGGTACATCAGTGCTCCTAGCCATAGATGCTGAATAGATTGTTTAAATAAGTATGTGAATATAGGTTAGATTAGAAAGACACACTAGGGAAAGACACTATCGCTTATAAGAATAGGATAAACTGGGGAGCACATTCCTAAATGTAGTCAGTTAGGAAGGAAGCTTCAGGAATAGGGAATACAAATACACACATACCCTATAAAAAAGTAACTGAAGGGGGCAAAAAGAAACATCAATTCACCTGAGCCATGACTTTTAGAGCTGCAAGAAATGATCAGTCCTCTTCTGGGTTCCTATCTTAGAGAAGCAAAGTATGGAGAAGGGAGAGATGGGGAGGAGAAAACAGAACCATGAGACCAGGCTTTTTGCACAGCAACAAATGATTGAGTTAGAATTATCTTTATTGCATTCTTCCTCCTTTCTCTTGCTCCCAACCCAAAACACATACTAAGGGGTATAGAATAGAGGTGGTGGTTCTTATCCCAAACTCAATGCTCTCTATATACAAAAAGAAATGAAACTCATAGATAGTATGATACATCTATATACGGTACGACAAAAATGGAGCTAGTGAACAACTTAATATTTCAATATAGTAATGATCATACACAACTACATTAGAAGGCACAAATAATTAAATGCTTATGCTTACTATTTATAATGATCAAATTGAGATTTATAAAATGGCCATATTCAACTAAATATTGTTTATACCTTTTATTTATATTTGACATTTTGAAGTAAAGGCTACACATATTTGTGTGTTTCTGTTCATGTGTATGTATAGAATAAACAGAAATACATTATCTACAAATGAAGGTTTCTGTAAGTATTTACTATTGGCAAGTCAAATATTGCAATTAGTACTGCTATCAGTACTGTGACTTTTTGAAATGGTTAAAAATACTTCAGTAAATTTCTTAAAGTATAATCTTTTCTCAATCAAGCCACAGCTGCATTCCTAGAAGATGCACCTATAATAATAGTAAAACCACCCAATAATAGGAAAATAGATAAATTCAGCAATTTGAAAAAATCATGCAAAAAATGCTTTGTGTGAAGTTCTAGACCCAGGTAATATAAACACATTCTTTCCAGCTATGGTCCTCATTTGCAAGTCACAAACAATTCTTTGTTATGCACTGGTGGACAACTAGATCAGAAGTTGGCAAACTACTGTCCGCCAATTATTTTTGAAAATAAAATTTTATTGGAACACATCTATACTCATTCATTTATATATTGCCTTTGGCTACTTTTACACTATGGCAGCAGAAATGAATAGCTGCAACAGAGACCATGTGACCCACAAAGCCCAAAATATTTACTACCTAGCCCTTTATAGAAAAAATCTTGGTAACCCCTAACCTAGATCCATTACTTCAGTCCTTCAAAAGCCAGAAGTCTTTACCCTCAACCTTTTTTTTTTTTTTTTTTTTTGAGACAGAATCTCACTGTGTTGCCCGGGATAGAGTGCCATGGCATCAGCCTAGCTGACAGCAACCTCAAACTCCTGGGCTCAAGCAATCCTACTGCCTCATCCTCCCGAGTAGCTGGGACTACAGGCATGCGCCACCATGCCCGGCTAATTTTTTTTTTCTATGTATTTTTAGTTGTCCAATTAATTTCTTTCTATTTTTAGTAGAGACGGGCTCTCGCTCTTGCTCAGGCTGGTTTTAAACTCCTGAGCTCAAACAATCCGCCCGCCTCGGCCTCCCAGAGAGCTAGGATTACAGGCGTGAGCCACCGCGCCTGGCCAACCCAGTTATTTTAACATTCAAAAGTACCCAGATATATTTCCAAACTATCCTAGGGAGAATCGCTGCCCTTGCAGAGAATCATTGATATAGGTGCTTAATAAATATTTAACTGAAAATTCCACTTCTTCTACATGTAGAAATCTGCAATAGATAATTGTGCCCATCCTAACAACCTAAACATAATTCATATAAGCTGAAAAATCATAATTTCATTTAAATTCATCAGAGAGCTGAGGATGCAAAGAAATTTAAATAACTTAAACTCCAAAAAGTGCCAAGTTCTTCTTAAAAGACATACATGTATGCTCCCATCCATGGCAGGGCTTAAACTGAATTATATTAATAATAGTCCCACCATTCCAATAAAAAGGCAGTGACAATATAAAAAAGCAAGTTCCAATGATATGCTCTTTACAAAAAACACACTTAAAATGTAAAGACAGTGATGGGTTGAAAGTAAAATGGTAAGAAAAATTTGTATATACCATACAAATACTAGGCATAAGAAAGCTTGTATGCCTATAGTAATACAAAACAAAATAGACTTCAAGATAAAGAGAAATTAGTACAAGAGACAGAGGATCAATTCATCAAGAAGACACAGCAATCCAAAATGTGTACAGATTTAACAATAAAGCTTCAAAATATATGAAGCAAAAATTAACAGAATTGAAGAAAAAAGACAGAAACGCAGAGTTGGAAATTTTAACATCCTTTTGCTCAGTAATTGCTAGAACAAGTAGACAGAAAAATCAGTAACAATATAGAGGAGTTATATACCACTAGATACACATATAGACTATCACACCAAATTCTCAACAGCTGAGCTGAGCTGTTGTTATCAGAATAGCTCATTAAGACAACAAGCGTTTAATCACTTACTAATCACTTCACGTAAGAGGCTAACCTAGAGAAAGCGCTGACTCCTCCACTGTTCCATTTCCCCCCATAGAACAGCACAAAGTCAGGTAGATCAGTGCAGACGTGGGAAGTCATCTCACTGCTGAGGGAACACAGAACAAAAGCCTCCTGTTATTTTAGGGACTGGGAGCAGGAGACAGGAAGATTAGGGAAGGGCTAGGAGTAGAAAACTACTGAATAGTAAGTCAGAGTAGAGAAAAATTGTCTTCAAGGTATTCCCTCCACCTCCCTAAATAAGGATGTCTTGGCAGAGGGGTCTGATGAAGAGGCCTCCTAATGGAGGTACCCGGGCTAGGAATGTAAATATACATAAAAGCATGGCTGGTGTGGGAGGCCTGAGTCCTGGACTGCAACTCCCTTTGGAGACTACAGTGTGGCCTGCTGGGGTTGCTGTTGGTGAGGTCCGAGAGCTGACACACAGATTTTGGCAGGAGACAGACTCTTCACTAACAACTGCGCTTGTAAAGGTCATCAAAATAAACCAGATGCTGGGTCATAAAATAAGTATCAATAAATATTTAAAAACTGAGGGCTGGGTGCGGTGGCTCATGCCTGTAATCCTAGCTCTCCGGGAGGCCGAGGCGGGCGGATTGTTTGAGCTCAGGAGTTCGAAACCACCCTGAGCAAGAGCGAGACCCCGTCTCTACTAAAATCAGAAAGAAATTAATTGGACAACTAAAAATATATAGAAAAAATTAGCCGGGCATGGTGGCACATGCCTGTAGTCCCAGCTACTCGGGAGGCTGAGGCAGGAGGATCGCTTCAGCCCAGGAGTTTGAGGTTGCTGTGAGCTAGGCTGATGCCACGGCACTCTAGCCCGGGCAACACAGTGAGACTCTGTCTCAAAAAAAAAAAACAAAAACAAAAAAAAAAACAACTGAATTATACAGAGTATATCCTCTGGTCTTTGTGTATATATCGTTAAATTAGAAACTAATAACAAGAGGTCTAGAGGAATGCCCAAATATTTGGAAATTAAATATACTTCTAAATAACCCACGGGTCAGAGAATAAATCACAAAAGATATTTAGAAAATATGTTGAACTGAGTGCCTACGGAAATACACATCAAATTTTGAGGACTGTAGCAAAAGCAGTATTTAGAGGAAAATTTATAGTTCTAAATGCTTATATTCCAAAAATGATTGAGGCTCCCACCTTAACAAGCTGGAAAAAGAAGAGCAAATGAAGCTCAAAGTAAGAAGAAAACAAATAAGAAAAAAAGCACAAAATTCACAATATAAAATAAATTGTAACAGAAAATATCAACAAACTAAAAAATTAGTTCTTTCAAAAGATTAATATAATTTATAACCCC